AGAGAGAGAGAGAGACCTAAGTTTTGTGTTATCTTGTGCAGGTTGACACTGCCATTCAACAAGAATTGCCAAAAGTCATTGCGAAAATGAAGCTTTATTTGCAGAATCCTTCATCGCGTACTATTTTGTATAAATCAATCAAGTAAGTTATCTTTCGCATGGTCTTATAGCTTTCAATTATTTTTGGGGAGCTCAGGCACAAGCTCAGATATTACTGTTGGGGATTTTATAGTTTTTTATCTTGTTATATATTGTCGTATGCCTTCTCTTCTTTTGTTTTTGGTGGGAAATTTGGGAATTTAATCTGGCTTGCTAATTTGGACTGTTGTGGTCAAATATTATGAGATGCTGGACTGTGTGCGTGAGAGAGAGAGCAGATGGGACCCTGAGAAGTTGGAAAATCAGAGTTACATTAGCATAATAATTGTATTTCAATCGTATCATAAATAAACTAGAACTAATTCTCCATGCGGCATTCTCTATCATAAAATTTATCATGTGTGACTTAAAATCTTGGGTTCCCACTGAACATTTAATCTTTTTTCTTGGCTAATATTGTCCAACATTTTATTTTTCTCTCAGGACAAATATAGCGGAGGCTCAGTTACAAGTACATTCCCTTATAAAATCCGAATATTCCGCAGAAGAAATGGCGAGCATAGGTATGCTTCCTGTGCAAGACTTGCAAGCTCTACTTGACAGTCTTTTGTAGATTGTGTAGATATAACGGCTGCAATTTTCCTCATATTCTGGTATTCTTTTCCTTTTCTGTTCCTGTAATTTTTTTCTCGGAGACCTTGAGCAATGATATAGCAATAGTTAATTAATATAATTTGTTCAATTCCTTTATATCTGACTTAAGATTCTGTATCTTACTTTCGATGTATCAAGCATAACTTTCTAATATAATCTTGTCATTGAATTCTTTGCCTCAATTTGCAAAACGATGGAAATGGTCCCCAATTAAATATACCCAAAAAAGGGACTTACTGATGACCTCTTAGCCAAAAATGGCACCTAAAGTGAAGAGTGTGTTGCTAATAGGCCCAAGCTGAATTAGTTGTGGTTCACGGATGTCCTGGAGCAAATTTTGTATTTAAAGCAGGATAATTTCGAACGGTTCCATGGGCCATAAGAAGTTGGCCCATGGGCCAAACACCTAGTTTTGAGGCATTTTTAGGGCATCAAAATTTTCGGATGATTTTGGATTTACCTTGTGATCATTTTTCAAAAAAAGAAAAAGAAAAAAAGAAAATTTATTTTGAACTCTTAAATCTGTCCAAGAAATGGAGGGCCGTGATCATTTTGGAGCCTTTGCTCATTTGGAACATCGTTTTAAACTTTGAAATATGTTTTTTGTTTGTGTTTCTATCAAAGATGAATTTAGAACTTTGGGGTCAAACAAATGCTCCAACTAAGGATGTTGGTATATGGGCCAGTTACTATGGTATGGGCTCGCGGGACTATAAGCACCTTTTCCTTTGGATCAACTTAAAAGAAGAGATAAACATAGGGGAAATGTTCATCTTGCCACCCAAAGTAGAATTTCTTTTATAGCAAAGTCATGCCATGGGTGATTTTATGGCCCATGGAATTCATCTCTCCTGCAGGAAAGAGGTTCTCTCTCTAAATTCGCCTCCAGTCAAGCAGGTAGTTATAAAATTAGTTCAATACACCAGTAGGTTAGAGAGAAAAATGGCCTGAAAATCATACACCTGCATAGGCTGTGGATAATACACATGCACGGCAAGGATTATTAGTCGAGGTCAGTGTTCTCAAACTCAATACTGAAACCGAATTGTTGATCCATATGAGAATCGGTCGGGATTGAACATGTTATGAGATGGTAGGGCTTCTGGTCTAGTCCCCTGCTTTTCTTTCCTTTTTAAGCATGTCTAATGACTTTTTAGATTCTCATAAAACTCTATTTTTAATTTTTAATTTATCTTTTATTTATTATATTTTTTTGAATTGCCGATTCTGATTGATCCAAACTTGATCCAGATTGTCAATCTAGTGATCAAACACGGATCTAGAGGTTAAACCATATGCCCCACATCCTGGTTTTGAAACAATTGTCGTGGTTAAGTAGGTTGCTTTCTAGACTATGTATCTTTCCATCACAAAATTCTTCCGTAGAATAAGTGCCTTCCACTGTTGGACAGTTGAGATGGGCATTGCTCTGTTGTGGGGAGAGGTTAACTGTTGACGATACGTGCAACGAATGCTACGTGTATCATGGTATGCTTTTGTATCGCACAATGGTTTAAAAATTGGAAATTGTTTTGGTTGGGCTGCGGCCCAATCAAAACTAAACAAGTAAGTAGGGGTAGTAAAGGACCCGGATCGGACTTGACCTGGGATCCGAAGGGTATACCTGGTACTGGTCTGGGTATGTGTCCAACATTTGGACCTGGCGGGTCGGGTTCGGGTCCAAAACCTGGACCCGATTGCTATTCGGATTCGGGTTTGATTCGACCCGACCCGTACCCAACCCCTACCTATAGACTAGTGGAGATAAAATATTTGAAGCCCTATTTGTTTAGACGCATTAAGGATCATATACAATAAGAACTAATAATCTTTTTTAGCTATTAAACGACAAATCAAACAACTTTAAATGTAATGCTGGGTGATTGTGACTTTGTTGCCGATAATATGGGTATATGATAGTAAAAAAAAAGGCAAACAATAGAGAAGAAGCTCATTGCGAAGGTGGCAATGGACCTGAGCGGACTCGTAATTCTATGGGATAGACCCAGGACCCAACATGTATAGGTATAGGACCAACTTTTGGACCTGACGGGTCGGGTTCAGGTCCCCGACTCGTTGCCACCCCTACAAGTGAGGCCTCATCTTAAAACTCATTGGAAATTATATTTTCGGTTTAAGGAAATATTCAAATTGATAATGTTGACCTTGAGCATTAAAATTGTGAAAAAAAAAGGTTCAAGCCTAAAACTAATGTATCTTATAACACATTATCTAGACCATTCATTTTTCCCTAAAAATAAGTATCTAACACATTATCTAGACCGTTCATTTTGCCTTAAAAATAAGTATTTACGGGTTTGCAAGATTAGTTATTTTTTTAGTTTTAAATTTCATAGTCGCTGTCAGAAATTGATTTTAGAGTCATCATGGAGATTTTCGATGTCAAAAGTGCTTTCCAGATGAGGATTCAAGGTGAGGCTTTGTTTTGTTTTCATAAAGCCTAGAACTTATAGAAATTCCATCCTTAAAAATTATGAGCTAGCTTGGAACTGGTTGTACCGTTCTAGATCCAAGACCTGTCAATTTTGCCTGGTTACCTTTGGCTCTCAAGATACACAAATGCTCCATGAGTGACCTGACTGGTGGGTGACCGATTCAATCCACAAATCTGATTTTTAAAAGGGTGTGGTTTCTATTAGGTTGCAACCTTCAACAATCCAATTAACATGCACCTTCAAATTTTATCATTACATATAATTTTGGTGCAAATGCTTTTTAAGATTATCTGAAAATCTATTTTCGTATCTAATTATAAAATTTACAATAAAGTAGATTTATAAACATATAAAAATCTTGAAA